CATGAGAGTGGTGAGACCCTGGAATGGGTTGCCCAGGGAGGTGGTTGAGGCCCCATCCCTGGGGGTCTTTAAGGCCAGGCTGGATGAGGCTCTGGGCAGCCTGATCTAGTGGGAGGTGTCCCTGCTCATGGCAGAGGGGTTGGAACTGGGTGATCCTTGTGGTCCCTTCCAACCCTGACAGATTCTTATCTGTTTTAGCAGAGGACTTTAGAGCTTTAATGGTTGGACCTGATGATCTTAAATGTCTCTTCCTACCTAAAGGATTCTATGATTCTATGAAAATGCATCCCCACAAAAATCTCACCATGCTCCTGTAATATTGGAATTTCTAACTTCATCATTATTTGTGAATTAAATTCCTTTAATTTCACAGACAGTTTAAACAGTAATCTTTTAAAGAATTGTGTTAAAGTTAAGCCTTCACAATTAATAGCAACTATGTAACCCCTGTATGTTTACTTTAGATGAGAATCAAGACTACTTTGTGGCACTTCGGAAGATGATAGAGTTAATGTATGAGCAGTATGGAAGTCCTGTTGTCTTAATTGCCCATAGCATGGGTAACATGTACACCCTCTACTTCCTCAACCATCAGACTCAGGACTGGAAAGACAAGTACATAAAGGATTACGTGTCACTGGGTGCTCCGTGGGGAGGAGTGGCTAAAACTCTCCGTGTGCTGGCTTCGGGTAGGTAATTTGAGGGTTTGCGATGTATTTGGTTAGTAGTGCACAATACTAGCTAAACTCCAGTCTTGTAGTTAAGGTACTATGTAGTGAAAAACTTTTTTTTCCTCTTTCAAAAGCAATGGCATCTTGAAGCTTTGTGACCAGACTGTCACTTTATGTTCATGGGACTGGACTGAATTTTTTATTTTTTTTTTTTTTTTTTTTTTTTACATCTCTTAACCAGGACCTGTGTCCACTCTTGACCTCCTCTAACCTCTTTTTAGCAGATTGTTCTGTCATCTGCTGTTTGGCCTGGTGCCTTCTATTTCTGTCACTTCTGTCCTCAGCCTGATTGCTCTCTGTTCAGTATTGCTAACCTAACAAGGACTCCAGAGCATTCAGTAGTTTCCTTTTGATTAAAGAAAATTCCTTTGATTACAGCTGCTGAGGTTAACATTAACAGAAATTTGTAGACATGGTGAAATGGTGCCCATAGTGCAAATGCCTGTCAAAAGCTGTAACTCTACAGATACAGAAAATGTATCCTTCATCTTGGGTTTAGCATACTCGATATGCCCGAGACTGAAAAAAAAAAAAGAATAAATAAGCATAACATATTTCACTAAATGCAAATGACTAATGGAAAAGGTTCATTTAGCCCATCATGTGATATCATAATTACTTCATGTGCTTGGGCATTCAGTTCATGATGTTTCTGGCTTGTCTTTTTAGCTTGTTTCTGACTTGTTAGCTTTGGATATCACTATCTTCTTCCTAAACAAAGCCGACATCAGAAACTGGACTTCATCGAAATGCAGAACACACAGCAAGTGCCAGATCAAAGAGCACTTTGCTTAGCAAAGGCATTGGATTCTCAACAGTAGTGCGCAGCTCACTAATTAGAGAACTTAAATTGGATTTTGTATTGAGCTATACGTTATTAAATCTATTGCAGTGGCACTGTAAAAATCGATTTGCCTTTCCCCACAGGCTTTGCCTGACAAGTTTGCTGGCTACAGAAATGGCAGAAAGTGAGCAATGTTATTATCCCCTTCAAAAAATTCCACAGGATTACATAACACTCCACAGTACCAGATTTCTGTTGGATTAAACTTTGGTGCCTCATTTCTTGTTTACTTTTTATAATGCATCTCCTCCAAAGTGGCTAGCTGTACAAATGCATACTGAATAGTTCAAATGCCTACTAAAATGTAGTCATCTTTTTATCTGTGTGTCTGTTGTACTAAACTCCATGTTTGTTCTGGCAGCTTGAGTTGCTAGCAGTGTCTCCTGAGGTGTAATATTTCGTTCATTATAATGTTAATAAGTGCTGTGCTTGCCGACTTGAGCATGGTCTTGGCCATATAGTAATTCTTCTGCACTTCAGAGAAAGTAAAGGATTTGATAAAGCATTTTGTAACAGTACTGTAAGAGAAGGCTGGAACAGTCAGGTCTTGTGTTTGGTTATTCTACTGGAAATAAACTTGTACACATTCCTTTCATTGTTCAATTCCTTTGCTAGGAACTGCCACGTAGTATTCAGTAGCATAGCGGTAAGTGTGCACAGTTAAATATTTATACCACACAATAATATGAATAACATTTTCCAGGACTTTGTGATTCTTGCTGTGCTCTTGAGTTTCCTTTCTGTCTGTTTCAGATAAAAATGCCCCCTAACGATGGCATTGAAGACTGGTTTAGGTCTGCTTGCTGAAGCAATAGTGCCACCTCATGGAACTGAAAAACATACTTTGGTCCTCTTTCAGGAATAGCAATTTTGGTTTCACTATTTCAACTTTTAAAGTGTAGTTGACCTGGATTAGTACATGCTGTAACCACTTCGACCTAATGATGGAAAATCTGACTCAAAGTTCAGCTAATAAAAGAACTGAGGTGTGGCAGCCGTTGCAGTAATGGAAAATAGGTCTGATCAGACAGTAACCATGGCAATAAATGTTGATCTGTCTCAGGGCTTTTTTAATAGAAATTAATTTCTAGTAATCCTTTTATCTGCCATTTATTAAGCAGCTTTTAATTTTTGTGAAGCTGCAAGAAAAATGGTTAAAATACAAAGAAAGATGCATATAAAACATGTTAGTCATGTGTTAGTCATCTTTGTAAGAAGCTGCTAAGAAAACAAAATTCTCAATGTTTTGGTCAAACACTAGTTCTCTAATATGAGTAAGTATAAATTTGGTAAAATTTAACAATTCTGTGTTTTGTTGGGTATTGGATAACACACATTGATAATAAGCTCTAGTTCTCTAGAATTATATTAAGAAAATATAATGCCTTGGAAAAGTCTGGGCAGCTGCAGGTATTTTTATAGCTATTCTGAATTAAATACAGCTTGTTTTGAATGTGCAAAAGTTTAACCATTTTATTAACCCTGTGAAGGCTCTTCATGAGTTATGTTTGTGATAGTAGTGTTTATCTGTTCTTTCAGCAAAAACTTTATCCAGATACCAGAATCACTGTAAAACACATTTCCAGAAATGTGTTTAAAACAAAACTTGCAAATGGTGTGACACCTAATAAAAGCTGTTTTCTTGGCTCATATAGGAGATATTTTCTTCAAAAAGGAGCATATCAGAAAGCCAACAGTGTTCTTGGTTTATCAGTCATTCATCAACTTGTATTTAGGTTATCAGAAGTTAACTATCAAGACAATCATTACTGAGGGAGAACTTCTCAAATTGTCACTAAGCAAAGGGAATAATCTTTTTATTCATGTTATTGCTGTGAGTGGTAGTAGTTACTGCTGGTTGAGCTATACGCTTTGCTTTGTGTATAATGAAATTCTGCTTTTTTTTTTTTTTTCAGGTGACAACAACAGAATACCTGTTATTAGTTCACTCAAGATTAGAGACCAGCAGAGATCAGCTGTTTCCACAAATTGGATGCTCCCCTACAACTACACATGGCCTCCAGATAAGGTCTTTGTAAGCACACCTACAGCAAACTACACTCTTCAGGATTACCAAAAATTCTACAGGGACATCAGTTTTGAAGATGGCTGGTTCATGAGACAAGACACTGAACCCCTGGTCTACCAGATGACACCGCCTGGTGTGCGTATACACTGCTTGTATGGCACTGGTGTGGAAACACCCGATTCCTTTCATTATGAAAGTTTTCCTGACAAAGAACCCAAGATTCTTTACAGCGATGGGGACGGTACGGTAAACTTGCAGAGTGCCTTGCAGTGTCAGAAGTGGGTGGACAAGCAGAAACAGGAAGTGGTGTTATTTGAGCTTTCAGGAAATGAGCATATTCAAATGCTGTCCAACGATACTACTATCTCCTATGTGAAAAAGCTGCTTTTTGATTTGTGATACCTTGTGTTGACAGTTATTTTCCTCACCTGTGATGCCTTCCCTTAAATATGGGAAAATGCCTTTTAATCCCTTGATATTTAGATATTTGAATTATTTATTTTGTGGGTTTTTTTAAGGCTGTGTTCAAGAAGTTGTTTGGTGTCCTAAACGATTGTTTGTCTCTGATTTGTGTTTGATGCTTCATGGTATTTTCACATTCTGCAAATTTGGTCAAATACGCATTTTGGTGCCTCTGGTGTTGTGTCCAGTATTCATACACTTTCATTTGGAGATGTGCAGCCCCTTGCACATACTGCACAGAGTCATAGATACCTGAGTTGAGTTGTGTGATTTGGAGTGGGAAGGCTGGGAAGAATTGCAATTCTGGATGCCCATAAAACAAGGGAATGATATTAATAATTTGGGAAGCACAGCAGACTTTTTAAAGGCTCTTCATGAGGTTCCCAGTACTTTGTACATATGCATGTCTCCTAGGTAAGATAGGGAGGATGTCTGCCTAGTAATGTACTACCTTTGTCATAATGCAGCCTTTCTTTTATTACATCTTTTTAGGGAAAAAAAAAAAGATGTGAATTACCTGAAGCTTCTTAAGTACCTTTTTGGTTCATGTTTTTTGGGTTGTGTTGAGTTTTTTTTGAAGTTGTTGTTTGCTCGTCAACTCCTGGAATCTGATTGCTTACAACCTGGAGGCTGAGGAATTCTCATCTTGTGCTTTACTTATCAATGAGGGAAAGAAGCTAAACAGTGGTTGGTGCTTGCAATAACTGTAGCTGTGTGGAACAGCACATAAAGCTAACTGAATGCTGGCAAACAGCCCATACAGTGCAGAATTGCATTTCTGGCTGAAAAATGAGCTCCTGTAGAGGAAATGATAATGGATGGTAGACATTAATTCACAAATTAAAGAGAACTTCCTGAAATGGGCTGAGGAATGGAAGCCAGCATAATACAGGATGGAGTATAAACCTTGTTCTCAGTCGAATACTTAAGCTCTGATCCAGGTACTGACCAAGTGGTGACTTGGATCAGTGTTGCATTCAGCTGAAAAGAAACTTTGTTTTATGACTAAAATTCATTTCTCATAAATTACAAGTGTCTTTGTTGCTGTTTCAAGAAATTAGGATACACCGCTCCCTAAATGTTTCTATAAATTGCTGAACATGCAACTCTGTTTTCCTACAGTATTGTTTTACTCAATGTTTTAAAAAGATTTCAACTCTGAACTCCACAGAAATGATAATGTAAAGGCCATCGTATTTGCAACCTTGATTACAAAAGTCCTGTTGGAGAAACAGTTACACTCAAAGATTCTCTTTTGCTTGCTTAAAACCAGTCACCCAGTTAGACTGCACTTGGTTTTCTGAAAACAGTTTTGAACGCTTTCAAAATGCTAGGTCCTTCAAGAGAAACGTTTTGAGTTCCAGAAACTTACCAGAACTATTGAGGCTTCATTACTCAAACTGAAGTCTAAAGGGTAAAGTGTTTAACTGTTTTGGTAGCATGCATAAAATGTTTGCTACTATGAAACCAATCGGCAAGGTGTGTTGAAATGACAGGCTTGAAGTCTTACCACAGAAGGCAAACAGTTGGGCACAGGAGGTGGATGTAAGGTTTCTAGTTTTAATTGGGAAATTATTTGTAATTCCAGAACAACTTGAAGTAGGGTCATGGCTAAGCTAAATATCCTTGTAGGTTTTAACTTACGCAGCTTCATTTTCCCCCTGCATTTTCCCTATTACTTTTGTTGAGGGAGAGTACAAACTTTCCTGATTTTAAAAATCAAACAGTTATCTTGGCCTCAGTTGCCTTGGAACCTACAGTTCAGCAATAGTATTGCCTGGACTTTCCCGGAGTAAATACTGAGTTGCCCCAAGCCACTTGTAATTAGTAACAGTTAAATGAAGGGGGAAAAAGAAAGGGAGGGGAACAACAGGGGGGAAAAAAAAAAAAAAAACCAAACCCAAACAAACAAACCAACACAACAAAAAAACCACAAAAACATCCTTTAGCCAAGTGTTCTATTTTATGCAGGGCTGTCAGCTGGATAAGCTTCAGGCTTGTGTTCCAAGACTGCTCAAAGATGACAAAGCTCTTATGTGGTCTGACTCCAGTTTTTGAATAAATTACTATGTTACTGTTTTGCAACAGAAAAAAAAAAAAATACAGAAAACTGCTTATCACAAGCTGTATTTTTTGCTGAAGTAGAATGCCTGTTAATAAGCACTGGATTGAATGGAGATGGAGGCTATATTGCAGGATATCAAACTGGGCATCAAAGGATGAAAAACTGAGAAAAGAACATAGGTGTGCAGTTATCAACCTGATGTGGAGAATGTTTCTATCTTCATTTAGATCCTTACCCATTAATTTGTGCCATTTTCAGTCTCATAACAAGAGTTTAGCTTCAGGGTTTTTTGTGAAGTTCCAAAATACATAAGTCTGAAAGATGTTCTTTCTCTTTTTTTTTCTTGATTCCTTTTTTAATACTACTTTTTGTGCCCCAAAACAACAAAAAAAATGTTATTCTTTTTTAATTTTTGGCAACCTAGTACAGTGTTTCTGAATTCAGTTGGCTGTATCTTTTAACCTAAAGGCCTGTGAATCAGCTTTCCATTAGCAGACAAGCCCTAGAGTGCATCTGTTTAAGCAAACTCGTGTTAACCTGGTGAAATGATGCTGGAAGCTTTTTAGTGCTTTTTTGTTGCTGTTTTTATGTTGTTTGTCATTATGAAGCCCTGTTGTGCAAGAATGTGCATGCCTGAGTTCTAAGTACTGTGTTAGAGCAAACACAGTGCTTCTGGCGAGATTTTTGATTGGATGTGATGGTTCTGCAGGCTGCAATCCTGGTTTATGTCTGGAAGTTGTGATTTTCCTACCAAATTGTATTCAGCCCTTTCATTTTCAGTTTCTTGCATATTAGGATTGAGTTCTCATTGAGAAGTAATGCAGCATGTAAGGAACATTATTCTGGTCGCTGAAACTGAATCACTTCGTTCAGCATGTTGAGAAGCACTTGCTCTCTAGGCCATGTTCCTCTGCAAGGCACAATTAGCATTACTATTAAAGGCCTGCTAGAGCCAAATGCACTTGAGCATTCTAGATTCTTGTGGGGAGAGAGGTCTGAAGAAATCTTTTAAGAGGGGGGAGGATGTGGCACTTCCTTAAGAGGAGTTACTCAGGTGCTTTGCCACATGCCAGTTGAAATCTTTGAACTCACTGACATATCTTTGTTATACCTAACACGCATTGATCATATCTCTTTCCATAATTTTTACTTGTTTTTATTCTTTCAGGATATTTTCAGAAACCAAAAATAGTTTTGAGGACCAAATGTGTTTCTTATCCTTGTCAAAATGTATAGAAAATGCTGAAGCTTTCAGTTGTCATTGTAATACTTCTGAAGAGGCGCAGAGTCACTATGTGATTCTGTTTAAAAACAGGTGGCTTCACTAATTAGCAATAATTGCAAAGGACTTGCAGACCAAAGGAAGGAATGTTTGGTTTTAAGGTAGTTCTTGGAGCACAGTGTGTTCAAGGCCCTCTGAAATTCAGGGAATGTTTGGCAATGACTTTGCTGCTCTACACTTAACAGTATTTTGTATGGAACATATTCTGAGACCTAGCATTTTATATGCTCTTTTTGTGTATGAATGTGTTCAATAGAATTTGAATATTTTATTGTCAAAGTTTGATAACATAATAAAATTGATCTGATATAGCCTGTGTCCTGTTGTGAATAATGTGGTGTCTCATTGCTCAGATGGGATGTCAACTTGTTGCTGTTTTTCTTCTCCATGGGTTCTTGGTCTGTTTTTCTCATGGTAATTGCTTCTTGGTTCATCTTCCAAATGCACCTACTGTATTGCAGTATATCAGGAGTTCTCTGTTAATTGTTCTTGAATTTATGGAGCTGTAGGACTGAGATTACTCCATCTTTTGTTTGCTTCTTCCTTGCTCAACTTGTATGGAGAAAAAAATGGTCTTGGGATGTCCCATGCTTCTGTCCATGTAACAGTTTTGAAATCAGTCCCTCAATCCTGAAATCTCCTGAATGCTTTTAGTTGCCTTTATACAGCTGGTTTCCAAACTGATCCATGAACCCCCGCATGTTGACTATAGAGTTTCATGGTTGTATGAAACAATCTTTTTGCAATTAAAACCAGTGCATCATGGCTCTGAAGAAACTTTAATAGTAGACAATGATTCTGAAGGGCAAAAGAACCTGGAAATTATCTCCCTTATCAAGGTAATCTAAAAGTCTGTTGGGCAAGCATAAATCCTGTGGTGGCTGGCCTGGATGCCTGACTAACCCGTAGTACAAATGATTGCTTATAACTCTTGAGAAAGAAGAAACAATGATGAGTGAAATTTGCCTTGCGGGGGTGGTTTTCTGCATGATAAAGACCTGTCATACAAGATGAGTGTTAACGACTGTGCTCTTCTGTGTCCTAGATCCCTATTAACTGGATGCCTTGTCCTGGTACACCTCTTGTTCATGCCTTCCTTCAAAGTTCATTGACCCCACATGATTACAGGAGAAAGGGGAATGTGGCCTTCCTCCAGCTCCCTATTAAAATGGGAAAGTCCTGCACTAAAGCACTGTGCCAGTTCTTGGAAGAGGCTGGGAAGGCTGAGAGCACAGTAAAGTGGGGACAGAATGATAATGGGGCATGGCTGGAGAGATGCCAAGCCATGTGAAAGACTAGTGTCCTGTGTAATGCTAGAAATCCATCTAATGCTGGTGCTAGCTTGGGCTAGGCATCTCTCAAATAGCAAAGTTCTAGTTGCATATGGCCTAATGCTATTTTGCTGTGCTATCTTACCTGCCTACTTTAATGATGGGATTATGGTTTTGATCAATTATGTTGACTTTCTCTTTTGCTTGAATTATAGTTTTCCTCCAAAGTTGTAGCTTAAGAATTTTCTTTGTTTTAAGACTAAATTACTTTGTGGTCATTCAGATCAACAAATCAGAGTTAAGTGGAATGTTTAGTTGCCAAACCAGCATTCTTCAGGCCAAAGTAGAATATAGTATGAGCTCAGGAAATCCAAGATATTCATAAGCAACGTTTTACTCAACATATT